TTGTTAATCTTTAATGAAGTGCTTGTTTGGATGTCATAACTGTTCCATCAATGCTTCGTGGTCTGCCCCTGTTTTCGTTGTTGAGTATCATTATGCGTTGGGATAGCTTTTGATTTGGCTGGTATATTTCCTTGAGTTTGAAATGCCTTATTTTTGTGCATTACCATTTTTTTTTACAGACTTTAAGAGTATTGCTACAAGTCTGTGTTCTAAACCTGCAGCCGTGCCACCGCGGGCGCCCACCAAACACTCCAGTACCATCTCGCGAGCCACAGCTTCATATATATCTCCCTCGGTTATACTCCTCTGCTAGACAAATAAGTCTAAATAGCGTTACTCATATTTTAAACAAGCATGATTCACCACTTTTCTGTTTCACAGATAGACTATTTGGGACCTCGTGGGAAGCAATATGAAAGAAAAATGCTTGAAGGTGGCAACTGCCCCCATCAAAGCCTAAAGGAGGTGGAATTGGCTGGGTTTGTTGGCCGAGTTATTGACCTCGAGTTTGCCCACTACTTGATTAAGAATGCCGTCACATTGGAGAAGATTATAATTGATCGTCATCGTACAATTCGTGCTAGCAGACCAAGCCCGTGGCTGTTAGAGGAAACCAAGGTGAAACAATATGCGAAAAAGCGTGCTATGGAACTCCAAAAAAGTCTACCTTCAAGAGTAAAAATGGAAATTATTTAATCTTACTCAACTGCATTTCGCTGCTGCTTGATGTTTAGTTTGTTCATAGTTCTAAGATAATTTAAGTTGATTATTTGCAATTTGCTTCTACTTCTAAGAGAGTTTCATGGCTGTAACTATTACTACTACAACAACATCTAGTCCGCGCCTTTTTACACGAAGATTTGTCAGAGTTTGATTCGTTTATTTCATCGGAGGAGCTTGGTTCTTGTCCCCCGAGAATTAGCTGTTGTTTGATAAAATTTGAAATTGGAGGGACGGAAAGTGAGTGTGGAGTTACTTGCTGATGTAATAAGTAAATAAAAATTCTCCTAATGTTTTATAAGCTGCTATGGAAAATAGAAGTGTTAATTTTCGATTCATTTTTACAAAGTTGAATTTTTATTTATTTATCAAAACATTTTTAGGTTTTGAAATTTAAGGGAAAAATGAATATATATGAAGTTTTGGGATTTATAGTGAATAGCGGACAAGAAGAAACAAAAAATCCATATATGTTATTTAAAAAAGAAACGTATACCTGGGAATTTTTCGAATGGGATGGGTTTTTTCAATACATTGGCCACAAAACTGAAAACAAGAGAATCTTTGAGCCAAATTCTAAAGTAACTTCGAATTTCTTTTTTTAGTAATTTTTATACACCACCGGTCTAGTGGTATTTTATTTTCTCTCTTTTAAATATATATATTGAAAATATTTTTATTTTTATTTCTATACACCAACAACACGATAAATATGCAATTACATTATAAGATGTGTACTATGTAGGATGGACACGAATACATTATGCAATTATATTATAAGATGTGTATTATGTAGGATGGACATGGATACCAATGTCACGAATACATTGATACGTCAAATTTTAAAAAAAATATGAATTTTTATTTATATACAATTATTATAAAATTTTAAATCATTTGTAATTTTTATACTAAAAGTTGTAATGATTTTTATATTATTTTGAGTCATTTCTTATTGGACTTGGCCTGCCTGTGCTTTCAATTACTTTGGACTTATTGGAAGCTTTGTTACCCAAACATGTTTACGTTTGGACCAAAGGCCCTTTTCTGTAAGTAGCTCTTTATCAATATATTTGCTTCATAAGCTTACCCATTTAACAATATATATATATATATATTTGCTTCATTTTTCAAAAATAAAAAAAACTATGAAGGCTTTTTACATGCTTTAGAGCAAGGCTTGCATAGAAACTTTGCGGGCTGCGTTTAAATGTTAAATTATTGCACTTTCTTCTTGGTGGAATGTCATCAGAAAGCTTTGGCAAATGGAAGGAGACGTTAATAAGTCGCTTAATTTTTGTCTCTTTTGTTAGTTCGTATATTTCATGGGTCTCTCGTGATTCTATACAATAGTCTATTTTCATGAAACTTTAAAATTTAACATTTTACAACCAAATCATCTTTAAATTTTTTATGACTTTTTTTAATTGAAATAATATTACGAAATTGAGTTTTAATTGAATTAAAATTATAGAATTTGAATTTTAGTTAATGTGTGAAAGAAATGTGAAAATGATTTATATATATATAAACAAAGAAGAAAAAGAAAGAATTGAAAAAGGAAAAGTAAAGGAAATAATCTATTATTCACTTAGTTAGTTTTTTTTTTTTTTTTTTTCACAAAATATTGAGCGCACAAATATATATATATATATGGTTAAAAATTATTTTTTAAAAAAATTGAAGATAATATAGATTGTAATTTTTAATTCATTTGTAACTTTTATACTAAGAGTTGTAATGACTTTTATATTATTTATACAGTTATTCCACTACTTTAACATAATTTGTTTTTATTTTAAATAAACAAATATCATTTAATACATTGCTTGTGATCATAAGTATATAATGTCAATTTGACTTAAAGAAAAAAAAAATAGAATATTTTATAATGTATTCATATTATTTTCTAATATTACCGATGATTTATGTCAGAAATATTTGAATGTCTTTAAAAAGTGTCATGAAGTGTTAAAAAAGTGTCAAAAACAATAAAAATTTTATTATTATTCAGGAATACATATTAATGAATTGTATGGAAAATATCGGTGTCTAACATAAATATAAGTACAACTTGTTTTACAATTTTCCGTGATTCATGGGATGTGGACATCAAACTTGTTGGCCGGAAAAGTGACCTCTTTTGATGTCCAAGCAACGAATCAAGTCAGTTTTATCACTTATGGAGAGCAAGCAAAGAATCAAAATTAGTCAAAATTCAATTAAATATTAGGTTTGATTATTTTATTTGTAGCATAGTTTATTGAAATCAACTCAAAATCAAAACAATGGAGTTGGTGGGTGACATAAGATCTAATTGAAAAACTTTTGCTCTCTACTTTTTCTCTTGCCTCTCTCTAATCCTTGGTCGACCTCATTGTCTCTTCCTTTGTTTGCTCTCCTGTGGGGAGGTGCCGATCCTTACCTTTCACTACTTAATAAACTTGGCGTGTTGTAATTAGTCGGTGGGTGAGTTTTTACACCGTTTTGTTAAATTTGCTCCTGTTAGGCTTATTTCTGATTTGATGAGGTAGATTTGCTTTTTGTTTCCGGTTAGATCTCTGATTTATGTTACGTTTTGTTGTCCCAACCTCTGTGTGGGTTTTGTGATCCCTGCCCTTGGGTTTTTTTGTCTCCGCCTATTGTGCGGGGTTTGGGGGGTTTTTCTCTGTCGACGGCGCCTTGTAGATGCAGCCTTGGAACAGTTGCCTTGAAGATGGCTTGATCTATGAGTCACTCACGTTGCTGCTTTCCTTCAATGGTAGTTTCCGCTGTTGCTTTGTTTCTCATCAAATTTAGAGTTTATTCTTTAGTTTTTTTTTTCTATTACTTCATGATTTGTTTATCTTTGTACAGCTATTAATAGTGTTCTATGTGGACATCATATGACTGTTTTTCTTATTGCCGTGGTGAAAAACAAAGACATAAGATCTAATCGTAGCAAGAAACAAAATTTGTGATATCATCTAACAAAAAAGTTGGAGATCATTAAAAGCCTTTCTCCTGCTATTATACTCCTATATTATATTACTTTAGCTTCCAAACAATTCATTACAAATTTTCAAGTAAAACCCATTTGCCGACAAATTAAGTGAGAATGAGTTTGAATTGGTTGCGGTGGATACATCAATTGCTTCAAATATTTTCTTGTAATTTGACCAAAATTTTGAATTAATTAAAAAAAATAAGGAATTTTTTTCTTTACTAACCCTAGATTTTATGTGTATCCCGACTTTCTAGATTTATTTTAGTAAATTTTTGTTATTTAAAAGTATTTTTAAAACTGTGTTATAAGTAGAGGTTGAATATTTTTTTTTCTTAGTTAATTATGTGTTATTTTTTATTATCAAATATGATAATATTTTATTAAAGAATATTATTATAAAATTAACAATAAAAATGTTTAAAAAATATTGTTACAAAATAAACTAAAAATAATTTAATTACAAAAAATACTTATTATAATGAGTCACTAAACACTAAAATATTTTTTATTGATTGTAATTTTTTGATAAGAAAACATTTTTTTCATTCCAACAGGGGCTCTATATATCTATCTTCAACAATACTTTTATAAATTAAATATATCTCTATAACAAAACTAAAAAGCCAAAAAAAACCTTAATAATCTATATAACAAATTTTTTCAATTTTTTTTTTTACTAATACCAATATAATAGGTAAAATGCTAAATTAACCGTTAAAGTTGACTGCAATTTGTAACTTTATAAATGTTTAATATACTTTGAAGAGTTTTGGATAATTTACCCAAATTAATTATACCACTATTATAATAATGTGGAGTGGAAATATCCTCTAATTTCATAAATCTAAATTAATTAGTTTCATTTATAGCAAAATAAAGCCAACACTTACAAAAAAAAAAAAAAAAAAAAATACAGAGTTACTACTATAATAAAAGCCCAACACCTACCCTTCTATTTATTTACAAAAAAAAAAAAAAAAAATACAGAGTTACTACTATAATAAAAGCCCAACACCTACCCTTTTATTTATTTACAAAAAAAAAAAAATTAAAAATACAGAGTTATAATAAAAGCCCAACACCTACCCTTTTATTTATAAAAATAAATAATAAAAAAAAGTAAAAACCCAACTACCCATATACGGCAAGAAAAAACCCTACCTAACCTCCAACCAACCCCATCTAGCCAATCCAAACGCAGGAAAAGATAAGACTGTGAAATGTGAAGCATTTGCGTTTGGGGGTATAACAGTCATTTCACAGACAAAACGTATCGAGAGTCGAGACCAGTAGACCACTGCTTGGATTTGAAGCATTGGAAGGTCCAAAAAACTGTACACAGTTTCTGAAAGCAGCAGACTTTCTCTCACTAGAACTCACAGTTGTGATTGAAGAGAGAGAAGAAACCGTTGGAGGATCGAGAATGGCGAGTTCATCAGCGGCGAATTTGGAGGACATTCCTTCAGTAGATCTCATGACGGAGCTTCTTCGTCGTATGAAGTGCTCTAGCAAGCCTGCCAAGCGCCTAATTCTCGTTGGTACACACTTGTATCTATCTATGTATATTTGTATATGCACACACTCGCTTCCTCAATTTTTTTTTATTTTCCTGTGAAAAGTTCCATTGAACTACGATAGATCCGGAGAATTGGATGCAATTGGGGCTCCTGAGGGTTCTTAGGGTTTAAGTCTGAGGTTGAAGTTTGCTATTGCTGATTGCTACTGTAAATGCTGCTCTCGCATTTTAGGATTAGGGTTTGGGGAATTGTAATGGCTGGACTTGGATCTGGTGCTTTTAGCTGTAATTAGATGTGATTATAGTTATTGTGTGGTTCTCTTACAATATGATTTCGGTTGTGGAATTAGGGGTTTGTGTGTGCTATTTGTTTTTGTTTCTTAAGGTTTTGGTTGTTTCAACTCTCAACCAAAATATTTATAGTGAAAAGTTCGCACACAAAAAATAATCATAAAAAATAAAAAAAACTGAACTAAAAAAATTATTTCACCTATATGGGTAATCTGAGCATTACAATTAAATTTTTAAACATTCTTACTATTTCCTATTTTTGATAAGAACTAACACACTGGTATTTGAAGCCCCCTTCTTCTTGTTTTTAGATGGTAGAGATACCATTCAAACAAACAGGTGTAGGAAAGCTCACTGCTAAAATCTTCGAGAAATTATATTCTTTTTAATGTCAGACCACTGTAGCCTACAATTGATTTCCCATCAAGGATTTTGATATTTAATATGTTTCTAATTTCAGTACACTTCCCGAGTTATTAAGTGGTCAACATGTGTTTACACACTTAACAGGAACGAAATTGATTGTTATATTTTTTTGGGTTGCAACTTTTTTGGCTGCCAAGCCAAATGAGTTGCCGATGGGATGATTAATGCTGAGTTGTACAGGAAAAAAATACAGTTTGATGTTATCAGATGTTATTACTAAACAGAAAGGCAAAAAGAAAATTTATTAAGGGAAAATTATTAGTAATATTTTATTTTCTTATTTGTATTTCTTTAAAATATACTTTAGGAAATAGATCAATAAATGCATTTAGACACTATATGTCCATAATGACCTACTGATTGAAGCTTTATTGGTTTAGAAGTATAACTTTGGAGTAAAAAAAAGACTGACGAATGAGGTGCAAACTTTCACGGACTATTTTCAAATTTGAATTTCTAAGAGAAGTTCTGGATAATCTTTGTCAGAGAAGCTATATGAATTTATACTTAGAGAGAATTGTACCATGCTGATCCATAAAAATTCACACCAATATTTCTTTTTAAGTGAAAATACATTTACATTTACAGTGGAAAGCACAATTTTCCAGTTGTATGTTAAGTTTCCGTCAAAGTATAAAGATGTAATGAACTGTTCTTTTAACATCTTATATCATTTCGGAGCATAAATTTTCTCTTAGCTGCCTGGGTTTCTTGGGCATAACATTTTGAACTTCATTTGTCTGGAGGAATTGGATTGTTGTGATGTTCATTTTCACTATGAATCCATATATTTGGCAGGGCCACCTGGATCTGGAAAAGGTACGCAGTCGCCAATTATCAAGGACGAGTACTGTTTATGCCACTTAGCTACTGGTGATATGCTGCGAGCTGCTGTTGCTGCTAAAACACCTCTTGGCATTAAGGCCAAAGAAGCTATGGACAAGGTATTGCATGAAATTTTATATTATGTGAATAGAATTTGTATCATGGGTTGCCTTCTGCTTTTTCCTACCATAAGTTGTTTTTGAAATGGTTACTCAGGGAGAACTTGTTTCCGATGATTTGGTCGTTGGGATAATAGACGAAGCATTGAAGAAGCCTTCATGTGAAAAAGGTTTTATCCTTGATGGATTTCCAAGGACTGTGGTCCAAGCGGAAAAGGTCTTGTGCTGTCCGGCATTAAAATATTAAACTAGTTCTTCTATATTGCTTTCCCCCTCATCTTGAATTCATTTTTATGTGTTTCAAACTATGCCTTTGTTTCATTCTATGCAGCTTGATGAGATGCTTAAAAATCGTGGAGTTAAAGTTGATAAGGTGCTCAACTTTGCAATTGATGATGCAATTTTGGAAGAGAGAATTACTGGTCGCTGGATCCACCCTTCTAGTGGTCGGTCCTACCACACAAAGTTTGCACCTCCTAAAGTTCCTGGCGCTGATGATGTAAGATTACGTGAAAGTTTCACCTCTATTTTTTGCCATGAAAATGTGAAATGATACCTATAAATTATAAATTTCTTGGTGGTCCAGACATGCCTCACAAGCTTTGTATCTTTTGAATTTTATTTATTAATATTTGAGGGGTAATTAAAATAAGAAAGACCCCATCGATATTGGTTTAAGGCAAGGATGATGATGAAAGTAAGAATGACCGGGGCACTTTCTTGAATCTAATTTAACTTGAAAAATGGTATGGTGCTTTCATCATTTAGCAAATTCAACAAATTCACAAGTTCTGTTACCTACGATGTTAGACTACTGTGAACGTTTCACCTCTCTTTGTTTGGTCATAAAAATGTGAATGTTACCTGTAAGGTATAACTTCCGGGCCTTCTAGCTTATATGGCTTTGATGCTCTGGCACACTTCCATATGTACAACATACATAGTTGACACGATATTTGTAGTAGTACGCATATGTGCATAGTGGGAGATCAGTCTGCTGCTACATTTATGGGGAGAAAAATCTTTCAATACATGTATCCATAAGCTGCATCATGTATTGGGAGGTCAATCTGTTGATTATTGCTCAACCGGTGTAAGCTCCTGATACATGTGTAGGGAATGTACTGCTCTCTGTATTGGGAAATCAATCTCCCTTTTAATGTTATCTACACCTGTATGAGATCCTCTATATAAGTTTACTTCTGTTTCATGTTTTATTGAAGTGATTGGTGAGCTTAAGATAAAAACGTTTCGCTTTTTATTTACTTTTTGAAGGTCACTGGAGAACCCTTGATTCAACGTAAGGATGATACCGCAGCTGTTCTCAACTCAAGGCTGCAGGGATTTCATAAACAAACTGAACCTGTATGTGCTCTCTTCTTCTTTTCATTTGTGTGTTTAAAAGTTGAATCTATAAATATGTCAGCAAATAAATAATAGAATAAGCTTGCTTTATTTTCTTATGTGAAATGTTCAATAACACAATCTTATATGTGTGTGTGACTCTGTGTATTTGTTTTCTGAGTGGTATTCAGAGTAGAAGTTAACTTGAAGTTTTCTACTTGTTTGGTGTGGAAGTTTCCGAAGTTGTATTTGTTAGATTTGTTTATGCAGCTGCATTGTATTAACGTGTTAAAAAGGGAAATTGTATTGTCTCTCTCTGTGGTAATTTGGATTTCCTGATCAAAGAAAGTCAAATAAACTCTCTCTGTTAGGCTCGTGCCCAGCTGTATTTAATATGGACTGCCTTGTAGGTTAACATCATAGATAACAAGTGAGTATGCATCTGCATTGTATTAACATGTTTAAAAGGGAAATTGTATTGTCTTTCTCTCTCTGGTAATTTGGATTTCTTGAGTAAAGAAATTCAAATCAACTTTCTCAGTTAGGCTCGTGCCCAGCTGTATGTAATATATACGGACAGCCTTGTAGGTTAACATCATAGAGAACAAGTGAGAGAGATTTTAGTTGTCTACACTTTTGCAGCCCTTCCAAGGGGCTTCCCACATATTGAGTTCTCAAAATAGTGCAGTAGGGGGTTAACTTAATTAAACATGTGGTTGGGATGTGTGAGGTGGTTCTAAATGCATAAGTGATTTCCTTTCAACGAAATGGATGATTAGCAAGACATTTTATGTTGCACACTGAGTATAACAGTTTACTTTGTTATATTAACATATAAATATTTAATTAACTGTATCATGTATACAGAGGTATCCTGAATCATTTTGAGTGAAGAAAGTCAGTTCTGCACGTCATAGCCTTCGGCAGGCAGCCTGCATTCTAGTAGCTCTTAATATGTTATAGACATTTTTTCTTTCATCTTCTCAAGGAACTGCTTTATTCTATGAGTATTGTCCTATATAAAAGAGAATTTAGGGGATAAATAAGAAAATAAGTACTTGGACTGCTGGAGATAATTCTTTATTTGGTTCTTGGGTTAAAACTTGGGCTAGCAAGCTTGACAATGCAATTTCGGGTATGAGGATGGTCACTTTGTTCAAATAATGTTAAAGGTGTAGATTAATGGTACCAGTATGAAGAAATGTCCTTTCAAGTATTTGGATTGCTAAAAAATTAGTATCTTGTTACGGATGTGAATATTTTGGAAACTAGATTCCAAACAGAAGATTATGAAAGAGTTATTAGCGTTATCTGGAAAGTCCTGCCCTTAAATATTGGAAGTGATTGTTACTTATTATATATATATATATATTGGAAGTATTGTCTATTTGTATTATTTATAATGAAACGAATATGGAAGAGGATGTTACCTTTCATAGTTTAATCAGGATTGATAAATGAGAGAAGTGCTTCACAAGTGTTTTGTGATATTAGTTGTCTATTGAATTGAAGGAAATATTTTCAGAATGAGATAGGCCACATGGTGGCATCTATGGAACAACAGCAATCAATTATCTAGACTGAGGTGTCATTGGCCTATCTTTCCCTCAGTCTGTCTCTAATCGTTTTTTGACTTCTGTGTTTTGGCCTATTTTTGCATGGAATGCCAGATGGGGTAGAGGCACTATCTCATTATTTCACCCCTTAATTATGTTCACAAATTTTTACTTATCAAAAAAAAAAAATTATGTTCACAAATTTTACTATACCATTTGGCTTTTAGTCAATAGGATGGGTTACAATGAAGAACTGCTTTGAAGCTGTGGAGGATGTTGAAGGCGGGTGGGGAGTTCAAGTCTGTTGTCCCTTAGCCTTTCATCATTCTTCCAATACAATAGATATTTATTCAAAAAAATCAAATGATTTTGGGAGGGCAAGATTCACTCTGCACATGTTACAACGAAACAGTGGCCATCACATTTTGAAATGGTTGGCAACTTCATCATCATCATCAGGGAGCAATGTGTTATAGCTAAAATCGCTAAGTAGATTGCTTCGTGTCCTTGTATATGTAGAGGGAAAGGGCATGTGTTTCATTTTAGATGATGGGTTCTGTGGCCATCTCGTTCACTCAAACTATGGCTTTCTTGGTCAAATGTTGCATATTTTTAATGGTGCTTCTACTTGTCTAGGGATGGCAATGGGACGGGTTAGCCTCAACCCTACCCTGCCCCATTAAAGAATACCATCACGGGTTGGGATCTCAATCCCATCCCCTTCCCGCCCCCCTTTTCACCAATTTCTTATCAAACCCATCAACATCAACATCAACAGATTCAAGCAAGAAAAAACAACTAACACCAATTTACAGAACAATATCATATACAATTCACATAAGAGGGAGGAGGTGACACTGCCAGAGAGACGTGAAACCAGATTGAGGGAAAAACACCAATGGCGACTTTCAAAGACTGCAATCAACTGATCTGGCTGCCAAGGATCAACGTCGACCACGACAATTGATCGATGAAATATAAAGAAGAATGTCCTGCCTTGCGATCGGGATGAGAAGCTCTGTTCTTGCTTCCATGGTGGAACGCGGGGCTCTTGAAGGTTGGGCATGAGGGAGAGAGTGCTAGCGGCATGTGTTTGGTAGAGAAATTGGGGTTTGTGTAAGGGAAATATGATTTGTATATATTAGCAGAATTGTACTATTAGGAAATCTTCATACATATATGAATCTGGGGTGGGGTAAGCACAAAATCCATCCCTGCCTCAAACTCGAGTTGGGTTTATTATTAAAAAATTTTACCATCTCCACACCTAACCCTATATAGAGTATCCCAAACCCTATAAAATAGAGTATCCCAAACCCTATAAAATAGGGGAGGGCGGGGTAAATTGCCAACCCTATACTTGTCCTGTAGGATTAAACTCATAAACCTCCTGTGGCTTAAACTCATAAACCTCCTGTGGCTGTATCTTTATGTTCCACTTTTGATGTTGATCTTGAACATGGCATTTTTAATTTTGAAATGCAGGTAATTGATTACTATAACAAGAAGGGTATTGTTGCAAACCTCCACGCAGAGAAACCCCCCAAGGATGTGACTTCTGAGGTTCAGAAGGTGCTCTCTTCATGAAGACAAGGAGAAACCCGCGAGGAGGTCACTGCTGAGGTTCAGAAAGTGCTCTTTTCACGAGGACAAGTCCGTTATTTTTATTATTTTTTTGTTTTGTTTACTTGGAAATGGAATAAACCAACAGAAATTTGAAATTTTTGCTCGTATATTCTGATTTATCGTTGGATCACCAACCCCTCGGCTCTTTTGATTTACTTTTCCCAACTGTAGGCACCAGCTTCCATCAGCTCCTGAGACGTTTAGTTTGGGTTATAAAATAAAATATACACATGATATTGATTTTTCAAAAAATTCCTGTATTGATTCGATTGCAGTCCTTTATGTTGTGAAATGGCTGAATGCTACAGAATTCTGAAGGGATATGGGATTAGTTCTTAATACCCATTGCGCATCAAGAAATAATGCTGAATGTTCAATTATCATCTTCCATTTGATGAAATTGGTTTGAAATTCATAGTCCTGTACATTGATCAGTTTTCATTTGGCGGTTAGAGGAATGCCAGTCTTGTCAACTTCCTAAGAATTAATTGGGAAGCTGAAAGTGGATCCGAGTTTTGATATCTGCAAGGTCGGTCAAGTTCCGAGTTTTCTCCGATTTTTCAATTTTTTTTTTTTTTTTTTTTACTTTCCAATCAAACAAAGTCCAAAGGAAAGATACTAGAGCATAAATCTATATATTAAGGCCTTCTCAGCCTTTTTGAAAGCTTGGTGTATGCCACTATCTGTGGTATTCGCTATTTGCATTCACTATATATATATATATATATATATATAGTGAATGCAAATAGCGAATACCACAGATAGTGGCATATACCACAGATAGTCATATATATATATATGTATTTTTTTTTTTCATTAATTTTTTAATTGGCATGAAACACTACAATTTTTTTTTTCATAATTTTTTATGGCCTTCTCAGCCTTTTGAAAGCTTGTTGTATGCCACTACATGTGGTATCCGCTATTCGCATTCACTATATATATATATATTTTTTTCCATAATTTTTTTAATTAGCATGAAACACTAACATGACGCACTTGTTTTTATGAGGACTAAAAATTTTGGATTAGAAGGCAACGCCCAACAAGTGGTACTAGAGTATTCATTGTTAGTCCACGAAAAATTGTATAATTTATCAAAAATTTAAACGGTGAAACTCAAATGTAAATGTGTAACTGAATTTTCAAATTGAATTTAATTGAGTTTCACCTTATTTGAAGTCTCACGCGAGAGCGGAATATGAGAGCGATGTAATTAAGTCATAAATTTTAAGAATTTAAGTCGGAGCACGCGCGGAGCACAAGAATGGGAGAGCATTCGGAGTGACACTTGTTGAGAATGATTGTGTGACTTAGTATGACAATGACTTGACCATAAACATAAATAATTGTAAGCCAACTTGAATATAACAAGTATAAGACGAAGATAATATTTGAAGGTATCTTCTCAAGTTACAAGGTGTTTTTATGTAAAGTTAGAAAATTTGAATTAAAAAATAAAAAATATTCTTCTTAAAAGTACATTTGAAGTCACTAAAGGTTTTTTTTTAACGTATAAAGTAAAAAAAATTAGAAACTCGAAAAAAATTGAGTTAAAATAAAAATACAATTAGAGCTTTAAATTAAAAATAACCTTATTCAATATGAAAATATAAATAAAAATAAAAATAATAGATAATTCTTACTTAAATATAACCAATTGTTAACCGTTTAGGTTATAGTGTTAAACCTCGACCGTCTACTAAAAACTTAAAAAATATTCAACTAAAATTTATAGGGGTACCTTCACTAAGTGAAGAGCCCTCCAAAAATAGGCGTATGCCACTCTTTGCTGCGAGCACACGGTATTCTTTAGTAAAAGGCGAAAGAACAGCTCGCTTTGTGCTCACCGCGAGGCTCCGTGATTTCCAAAGGAAAATGAACAGCTTTTTAAATAGCCGCTCCATCTCTCAACGCCTCTCACTTCTAGTCGATGTGGGACACATACATACCCCTCTTTTACTACCACCACTGCTATTCACTCTTAATCGCTGTCTTTCTCTTGTACATCAGCTTACCCATTATGATTCAACTCCTCAAATCTTCTGTCTGATCCACACCAGAAATTACTATGTTGTTCACACACACACATATAGGTATTATATGTGTATATAAATTCTTGTATATATATTTTACCACGGAGAAATGGATTGATGAGCTAATTCTTCGGTTAGTAGAACTTTCTATCTACTGAAACTACAGGAATTATTTCACACCCTTGGTTATATTTAACAAAACCTCACATTTGTATGTATAATTGTGTTAGATGTTCTGTTATTCCTCCGTTCATATGTGATAAATGAAAGCTGCAAAATGAATTTTTATAAACTATACTTCAAAACTGAATTTCCTTTGAATTTAGTAATTGCCCATTTCACAGTAAGTTTTGAAAAGCCACCCTTCTGCTATGAACATTTGTTTGATAAGCCAAACAAGTTAACAACCCTAGGGAACTAGCACTTGCAATGAAGAAGACAATGCTGGGATTCACTTCACTTTCTACGAAACAGACATGAAACCGCGCAAATAATATACCTTCCTCAGCCATTCTATCTTACCTTTCTGTGTTGGCTGATGAGCCAGGCCTGTTATAATGTGATGGTGCCACTACTGGCTCAGGGAGATGCGCGGAATTTGTCTTGAGGGGGAAAGTGAATTCAAGAAATGGTGGGGATGAATAAAGATTTTAGTATTGAGAATCACGAAGCATCAGAACGGATTGAACTATGAGAAATTCAGATAGTTGATTCACTTGTTATTGAAAAAAATCTCAATGCTTCCTTTGTTATACCTAAGTTGAGTTCAATTCATAATAAGTTGAACTCCATTCCTAGTTCTTCTTCAATTTAACAAGTAAAATCAATTTCACTGCAGAACTGACTCTTATAGAATATGCAACTACTTAATTTGGGGAGAGCTAGAAGGGGTCAGTTAGGAGGTTGAATGAAAGGCCTGAGCTGAGTTCAAGTACGACGTACCTGAATTCACGCGTAAGCATTAAGCACACCGGTGTCACTTTAAGATAGATTGAACGTCCAAATTGACACTAACAATTTGTTTGCCATTTGAGAGGATATGCTGCTCCCTGTGATTGTCTCCATCTGTGTCCACACGAAATATCCATTCACATTTGCTCCCTTCCTGCACTCACACAAAACTAACACATTTACTTGATCATGATTCATGAACTAGTTTGGACTCTGGACTGGTTTGTTATAAGCCACTAATATTCTATAATGGAGCATATTATGAGTTTCATTTCTCTATCTGCAGTAAAAACTAGTCAATGAGTAAAGTAAGACACCTATCCCACAAATGCATGTCACAGTGCTTGTCCTGAGGTCTCCATTATTATATGTAAATTATTGCATATATATTTTACCAAGGAGAAAAGGATTGATGAGCTATTTCTTCGGTTAGAAAAACTTTCTTTGTATTGAAACTATAGGAATTATTTCTGAAATTTGACATCCACTCCTTAAATCTTCCTCATCAAGTATTGCTTCATCTTGCATCTCTGTCTAATCCAAACCAGAAGTTACACCCAACACCCCAATTCTCAAGTACTCACCTTTGCAAGACTAAATTCTTTCACATCCTTAGCAATATTTTACAAAACCTCGTGAGTCATTTCTTCCGTGATGAACTGTTGGCACCAGTCCTACATTATTTTTTTGTCTCTGTGGACAGAGCAGAAAGGGGGCTCGGCAGGAAGCCATTTCACAGTATTCCTATTAAACAGTAAGTTTTGATAACCACACTTGGCTATGAAAATTTGGTAAGCCAAATATCCCTATGGAACTGGCATTTGCAATAAACACAATACTGGGATTCACCTCACCACCTACAAAATGACATGACACCATGCAAATAATACCATTTCACAGTATTCCTATTAAACAGTAAGTGAGGATACGGCAAGTGGCATGGGCCGGATATAGTCCGCGGGAACGAGATCGGGTCGAATGATTGAAGTAGGATCCATGCCAAAATGCCCTCGAATGGGCCGAATCTGGGGGATCCACCAAGGAAGGTCAAGCCCATTGGAAGATCAAGCCCAGAAGGAAGAGAACTTTTGAATATAGGCCCAATGTAATCGGTTAACAGCAATAAGGGTGATGGCCTATAAATAGACCATTACAAGTGGAAAGTAGAGAAGAGTTCTAGAGAGAGAGAGAAAGATAGGAAAAGATTGAAGAAACGAAATCTTGTATCTTCAATTGGCGCTGTCTGTGGGAATCGAAGACGAAGATCAATTCGAGCCCGATCAGTACCATATTAGTTCAATCGAGTTTGTGGGTACGCAGTATGATTTCTGGAAGTTGAATCCAGATCAGTGAGATTGTAGTTTGTTCAGAGAGAATTCTTGCTTATTGTGGATTCTGAGGCATTTGCTTCGGAATGACGCAATTGTGATTTGCTCAGTTGCAGTCAGATCCGATGAGTTTGAAGCTAGAAAAGTTCAGATTTAGCAAACAGTGATCACGATTCAGTGAAGTTAAGCCCAGATCTAACGGAGTTTGCATCGGTAACGTTTAGATCTGTTTCGGAGTTCGTAATTCATGCCTTTGCTTCGATCCAGAATCATGATAGGGGGTGACAACTCTAATACTGTTGAGAACGTCCAGCAAGTGAAACTTGATGAGTTGATGAACATGATCGAAGCTCTCCGGAGAGAAAATGCGGATCTAAGGACTGAAATGCAGCGTCAAGAAGCTCCAATAATTCCACGACCACTTCTGGCAGGAGAAGAAGGTGCACGTACCGATGCAGCACATCACGGTGAGGAGGTTGGAAACAATCTAGTAGATCCTCACCGCGAGGAAATCCGGCGAGACGGTTTGCCGCCAAATCTTCGTCGTATAGATGATCGTGAAGGATCGACTCACATAGATCCACGGCGTGAGCAGATCAGGCGAAACGAAGCAATGACTTTTGATCCACATCAAGAAACGCTCAGCCGAGGTGAAGCAACAGAGTTGATTCAACAAAAAGCTATGCCTCCATGGCGCAAAGACTTTGTTGAGGAAAGATCATTCGATCCGACCTATCGGCCTTCCATGACGACGTTCGACTATCAAAGCTCAGAGAGGAGATCAGTAGACCAGAGAGTAGCCGCGGGGTTCCAGAGGGA